CACGATTTGCGAACATTTACCACAATTTTCATTTTCTTGCTGTTGTTCCAACCACAAGACTTTTCCTTCTGCTCAAGTGCAGCCTCCCTGTGTGTTCTTTCCATGGGTCCTGCACTGAGAACACTGCCTACCTCCGGGTCACAAAGGTTGCCTTGTATGTGTCCTTTTCAAAGTCCTGTGGTCTCGGCTCTTACATTTAGGTTGAGTTTTGGTGGGTGGTGGGAGGCAAGGGCCCAGCTCCTCTCTGCACATGCGGGAGCCACTGGCCACACTGGGAGCCGTGGCACCTCTGTCAGCAACCCAGCGGCCCCCAGTCCGCCGTTCACTTTGGATGCTGAGTTCAGCCCCACGGCTCCGAGTCAGCTCTTATGTCAGCACATGTCTTCACTGCCGCAGCTTCACAGGAAGACTTTACCTTCCAAACTGGAAATTCTCCGACGTCCTTCCTTTCCAAATTGTCGTGGCTATTCTGTGTCCTTTGCATTTCTGGATACATTTTGTGGCCAGATAGATCGCTAATGCCTCCTGCACGCCCCCTACTGGGGATCGAGCCCTTGACCGGAGTCGAACCTGGGACCCTTCAGTCCGCAGGCTGACGCTCTATCCACTGAGCCACGCTGGCCACAGGCCGAAGCTCTATCCACTGAGCCACGCCGGCCAGGGCTGTTCACATGTTGACAGGGATTGCATCCAATCTACTATTGAACTTGGTGAGTGTCTGAGAATTGCCACCTTAACAATATTGACTTCCAGTCCCCGGACATCGTCGAGTGTCTCTCCATTTACTCAGGTCCATTTAGTATCATCCAGAAGTGCCAAGCAGCCCGAGTGTACAGTCCTGCGCCCTCGCGTGACGCGTGTTGAGGTGGTCTGTTCTTTCCACGCTGTGGGTGGCACTTGCTCAGTGTCACGTGTGGGTGGTTCCTCGCTAACACACAGAAGTGCAGTTACTTTCTGCACGTCGATCGTGGATCCTGGAACCCTGGTGAGCTCGCTCATTAGCAGCCCTTGTTCCTTCACGGTCTCCTGCCCTTTGGCCCCGAATACATCACAAATGCAGACGGGGATGGTTTCTGGTGGAGAAGAAGGGAAACCCAGGCACCTGGAAAGTTCCAGGACATGACGGAGAGGAAGGCGTTCAGAGAACGACCCCAGAAGATGTAAAGTTTTGGATTTCCAGGCTCCTCCCACCCCCCACCCCCCACCCCCCGTGGGGCT